GAAGACGGCACCTGAAATGTGACGGGGTACTTGCCTTTTCATCCTCGACAATCGTGGGTAGTATTCTACATTCTAATATAATACATAGCCGGAACTTCGCGCAACATTTCTCTCGCTCATGAGGTTGATTTGATTGGATGGCTATTCTTAGCGTAAAACCGTGAATTGAAGCTACGATAGCGAATGGGCCAACGGTAACTATAATGCAATGGAGATAAAATAAACTGGATAATCGGGGGTGTTGTCTGGTTTGGGTCATTAGGATCTTTTCAGGGACAGAGATATCATAATGTCCATTAGGACGTTGAGATTTTGCATAGGCAATTAGAAATTGGATGTCAGACACGGAGTATTGTTATGGGTACCAACCTTTGTACTTTACATAAATTTTACATATTTTACATGTTTTATTTTACACAAAGTTTCAGGTCTACTTCATGCCTCTTCGCCAGGGTGATGCCGGAGTTGGAAAACATGCATACAAATTTAGCCATTTATAATCGGATACATTTTCAACAATCCCAACAATCCATCTCCTAGCAACAAACTAAATTCCTCTTTACAAACGTTCACAACTGGAGGAAGCGCAAATTCCAAGAAGCAATCAGACGGGCCATCAATCAAACGAGATCGCGGAGTTTTCCCCATCTCCCCAGTGCATGGGACATTTACTTTTAATCTACTTATAAACTCATGTACAAATATATATATATATTCTAAGATGCTTAGCTAAAGATCCAAGGGCCGACTGTACTTTATCCTCACGTCCTTGTGCTTTAACTATAATAGTTCAGGACAAAACTATACTTTATTACACTACACATGAGGGTAGAGCAAACTTATTTTCTTATTTGTTATACTGACAAAAGGTTTCAATTGGTAAAAAAATAGAAAAAAAAACCTCGTAACATAAAACACGTAGTTCAACGTCCTACATAATCAGACAGTGGTGAATACTTCCTGTTACCACTGTCCCCTAATTCTGTTAACGCTACACATTGTGTTAACTCGATAGCTCTGTTGTTTGGATTGTCTATCGTAGATTAAGTGCAAAACGAACAACTCGATGGCGACCCCGTGGTGTTCTATGACTGATTAAAGACACTGGCGCTGAAAGCAAATCGTCAACAAAGGCAGATGCACTTGATAAAACGTATTGATAAAATGGAATAAATACATTGTTGGTTAAGTGACCCCCTAATTACTGTTAATGTTGTGCTTGTCAGTTTTTGTCACTCTGGTGATCTTTTTGATCAATGTCCCGTCAGCGACAGGCATCATTAGTGTGGGAATCAGGAGACCAGTGTACTACGGACATTAGGAGTGTATTGTGGACGCAAAATACAGAGGCCCATTGCGATTCGACAGCTGTTTAAAAATTTCGGAACAGTTTTTGTATCGACTATGCGCGTTTTGGACGTTACTTCTTATTCTTATTTTATTCCAAACAAGTTCGAACAGACAAAAAATAATGTCATATTTTAAAATGTCCTTCCGTCCTTTGAACACGTGGTGTCATCACTGATTTTCAGAGATCCATTTATATCATTTTTTCTACTATTTTGCCTTTTACGCCCAGTGGAATTTGTTTGTCGGGTAAACTGGTTATTCTTTGACGTTGACGTTATATAAATGGAGAATATTTCATGTGTCGCTTGTCGTAAAAGGCGACTAACGGGATCGGTGGTCAGGCTCGCTGACTTGGTTTATACATGTCATCGATTCCAATTGCGTGGATCGATGCTCATGATATCAATCACTGGGTTGTCTGGTCCAGACTCGATTATTTACAGACCGACCGCCGTCATATAGCTGGAATATTGCTGAGTGCGGCGTTAAACAACCAACCAACCAACCAACCAACCAATCTTTGTACCGTCACGAGATGAGAGAAACGTCATATTTCGCGAAACACATGGAACATCCTATTTATGTACATGATGTTGTTTGTCTGTCGTTTAACGCCGCACTCAGCAGTGTTCCAGATATCCGACGGCGGTCTGTAAATAATCGAGTCTTGACCAGACAATCCAGTGGTTGAAGTTATGAGCATACAATGACATTAATCAACCAAGTCAGCGAGCCTGACCACCCGATCCCGTTAGTCGCCTCTTGCAACAAGCATAGTCACCTTTTACGGCAAGTATGGGTTGCTGACGACCAATTCTACCCGGACCTTCACGGGTAGAATGAACATGATGATTTCCTACCCGAACATTGGTCGCATTGGTCGATTGATTTGACCAGACTTTCAGTGATCTATTCATGCAATTTTTATTTAGCATTTTACGCCTTTTGGAATCAGAAGATAATCGAGACTGGTTATTGTCTAGCCTGACGTTATATATTAACTAATAATCGTTTGAGGCAGTATTTGATTTGTGAATCAACCTTTCGCACTAAGCCCAGATGTCTGATACTGATCAGGAGATTGCCACTCTCAATATTGATTAACTGCCGCCCTAGTCAACGGATTATCGATTACCTGCAGATATATTAACGCCTCAAGATGTCTGTCTGGGATGATAAAGTAATCTTAGCTTTGTATCAGTGCCCTTGATTATTGTGATCATTGTTAGAATATAAGTTTGTTATTACTTTGCTTTTTACTTTTGTTTGTTTGTTGTTTAACGCCCCACTCAGCAATATTCCAGCTTTATGAATGCGGTCTGTAAATAATCGCGTCTGGACCAGACGACCAAGTGATTGACATCATGAGCATCGCTCTAATCAATTGGGATACGATGACATGTATCAAACAAGTCTGACCACCCGATCCCGTTAGTCGCCTCTTACGACAAGCAGAGTCGCCTTTACGGCAAGTATGGGGTGCTGAAGACCAATTCAGACCCAGATCTCCACGCGTCTGAAACCGTGGTCATCGCCTGTGGCCACAACAAATACCACCAAGCCCTTCAATTGATGTTTCCTTAAGGGATCACACCAGTCATCCTAACATGGTGCCCGACCATTTCATATTCTGCCCAGCCTTCATTTTTTGGGTGGAGACAGAATATATTTTTATGCCGTTACTTCAAGAGATACCATTTTTATTCAACAAGGAGGAACCAAATATTGGGAAGACAAGTTTATTACATTTTCGGTTCAGGACATCATGTCTTGTGAACAATTAATGATGGCAGGCATTTTCTGGAATACAAAATATTTTGAAAGAAAGACCCATCACCCCGCTTGCTCGGATTAAGGAAGGGCTAGTTTTCTAGAGTTTCAGTCTTCATGTCCTCCCAACTTCCCAATGCCAATCATGTTCAAACACACACACAAAAAAGCAACACACACACACACATGCTCACACACACACACTTCAATCTCCCCTAACATCATGTAGTTGATCCCTAACCATCAGGAAATATTTCTCCGTACCAGCATAAACATTTGGATGAACAAGACGAACTTTTTGCAATCTGTTTCGACAGAAGATCATCTAATATACTCGAAGACGCGGTCGTTGAGCAACAACATTACACAAAGATTAAGAAGGAAGCGTGGATCGATACGACGAGTATGACATCCTTCGCTGTTTTCCATAATCTAACAGCTTCTCTGTATTCCTTTCTATTATAACCATACTGACAAAGTGCTATTTATCCAGGGTTGCATGACTCTTACGCCACTCATTGATGTCTTCCGTACTACTTTTTGTCAATTACGAACTAAAAGGGACGACTCAGAGGCGCCACTGTTGTCATGAGAAGGATTAAACAATACAGCAGGGTGGTGGCGTGCTTCTCTATTTAACAATGTTTAGATTGTACAGTGTCCGCGTTATCCAGGGGGACATTCAAATCAACTCCCATAAACTCTAGTAATATTGTCGTGTTGTTAATTAGTTTCCATCTGTAGACATTATGTTAACAAGATATAGTAAATTACGTTTATAACAAACATGCGTATAAAGAAGTGACGGGCATAACGAACTTATTGTTTGGTCCCGACAATCGTTATGCATATTCTGTACATATGCTTATATGGAACTACGGTTATAACGAACTAACATGTGTGGACCGTGTAAGTTCGTTATAACCGTGTAACTACGTCCATATTCCACAACGATTACGTAGTCACAGAATTACGAAAATGTCCAATAACGATTGTGCAGTCTCATAACTACGTACATTCCCAATAACGATTACGCAGTCTCATAACTACGTATATGCCCAATGAAGATTTCGTAGTCTCAGGGTTATAAATATGTAAAAAAAAAACATATCTCAGTCGCCGTTACCTGCATGATCTACGAAGATTACGCAGTCTCAGAGTTACATTCATGCCCCGAAAGGATTATACAATCTCAGAACTACCTTATACCCACAAACACTGTCATCTCAGAATTACGTATAGAATTACGAAAGAATTACTCAGTGTCAGAACTACCTTATACCACACAATCATTACACAGTCTCAGAATTACGTATAGAATTACGAAAGGATTACTCAGTGTCAGAACTACCTTATATTATACCCACAACCATTACAAAGTCTCAGAATTACGTATAGAATTACGAAAGGATTACGCAGTGTCAGAACTACCTTATATTATACCCACAACCATTACACAGTCTCAGAATTACGTATAGAATTACGAAAGGATTACGCGGTCTCAGAATTACCTTATACCACACAATCATTACACAGTCTCAGAATTACGTATAGAATTACGAAAGGACTACGCAGTCCCAGAACTACCTTATACCCCACAAAGATTGTAGTCTCAGAATTACTTAGAGAATTACGAAAGGACTACGCAGTCTCAGAACTACCTTATACCCCACAAAGATTACGTTGTCTTAGAATTACGTCCATGCCCAGCGAGAATTATGCACCCGTAAAGCTTACGTACTCTACTTTATATATAGCAGGATTCCATCGTTTTCATTACTGCACGGACACGCCCGTAACAACAACTAATGAACAATATTCGTCTACTTGAAGCTGACTGTCTAACTGACAGTGTACTTATGAAATCAAACTCGACTCACCTCCGTCATTGGGAAATGCAGCATCCCCCAATTTCGCCAGACATTCCTCCTGACTCTGAATGCCTCGTTGAGGCCACATCAGACTGTCCCCCAGCGAACTGTTGCACGCCTCCTGAAATGTACACGTATCTGTCAATAACATGCGTGCAACATAATGACACATCAGGCCATCCTCGAAACACCTCCTGGAAGAGTGATGACATTATCAACCACTAGTCTGTAAGAGTGATGACATTATCAACCACTCGTTTATAACCTTGTTGACATTACGAAACACATTCTGTAACATCGCTTTAATCAATGGTTAGCCTTTTTCATTGATCTCAGGTCGACAGGGCTACAACATTGTTGCAAACTGCACCATGTCTCACTCGCACGCTGACAAATCTTGTACATGTTTGTATGCTAGCGGACTTTCTATATCCGTACCAGATAGTAAATCCCTCGAGATGATATACCTTGTTAAGGACATGTGAGCGATCGTAATACTATTCGTCTTTTATTCCAAATCGTAAATCTGGATCATTAACCTACTTCAGACAAAAGAGAAACTTCCATAATGAGAACGAAAGTCGATATTTTTTTTTAAAATAACCAACCCGGAGCACCGTTCGTCAAGACCTTGGTCGCCCATTACTACAGAAGCTGATAAAAATCCCCCAAGAAACATGAAAATATATTGCTTTCTCGTAAACTGGGCAACCTTATATTGACACAATGATTTATTCATTATCTAAGTGGTTTTCATGACAAGGAATTATTTCCACTCCTAGTTATTATTCTCATTCAGTTTGAAGAGTCTTTAAATACACATAATACTCGACATCAACGTGGGAATTATTGGATTTAAAAATAGGACACGTCGAGCGACAGGACATTCTAAGCGCTTACTTGAGTGCGTTTAATCAAAGGAGCGAGTTGATAATTTCGGAATGAGTTTGAAGATTTGTTTCAAAATCATACAACCGCTGAAGACGCGGCGAAAGCATATCATTTGAATATAAAAAAGGGAGTGCATTCGATATGATATTTCATTAACTACAAGAGATGCAGTTGAACAACACGATATGGCATAAGGACTTAGACACATTTCTTTTTGGTGGCAATAAATATAATTATGAAAAATGTCTAAGAAGTTCATGATTTCATTGATAAAAGCGACAAACCCCTGTCAATATTCATAACACCTACATGTATCTCAGACCCGTGAAGATACGGGTCGGAATTGGTCATCAGAAACCCATGCTTGCCGTAAGAGGTGACTATGCTTGCCGTAAGAGGTGACTATGCTTGCTGTAAGAGGTGACTATGCTTGTCGTAAGAGGTGACTATGCTTGTCCTAAGAGGTGACTATGCTTGACGTAAGAGGTGACTATGCTTGTCGTAAGATGTGACTATGCTTGCCGTAAGAGGTGACTATGCTTGACGTAAGAGGTGACTATGCTTGTCGTAAGAGGTGACTATGTTTGCCGTAAGAGGTGACTATGCTTGTCGTAAGAGATGACTATGCTTGCCGTAAGAGGTGACTATGCTTGACGTAAGAGGTGACTATGCTTGACGTAAGAGGTGACTATGTTTGCCGTAAGAGATGACTATGTTTGTCGTAAGAGATGACTATGCTTGCCGTAAGAGATGACTATGCTTGCCGTAAGAGGTGACTATGCTTATCGTAAGAGGTGACTATGCTTGTCGTAAGAGGTGACTATGCCTGTCGTAAGAGGTGACTATGCTTATCGTAAGAGGTGACTATGCTTATCGTAAGAGGTGACTATGCTTGTCGTAAGAGGTGACTATGCTTGCCGTAAGAGGTGACTATGCTTGCCGTAAGAGGTGACTATGCTTGTCGTAAGAGGTGACTATGTTTGCCGTAAGAGGTGACTATGCTTGTCGTAAGAGGTGACTATGTTTGCCGTAAGAGGTGACTATGCTTGACGTAAGAGGTGACTATGCTTGTCGTAAGAGGCGACCAATGGGATCGAATGGTCAGGCTCGCTGACTTGGTTGATGTATGTCAACGTAACTCAATTGAGTAGATCGATGCTAATGATGTCAGTCACTGGATTGTCTGGTCCAGATTCGATCATTTACAGAGCGACGTCATATTGCTAGAATGTGTTGAGTGCGGCGTTAAACACCAAACAAACAAAACAAAAGGGTAGCATCCCCCACTCACAAAATTTGCAGTGGAAAGAAAACAACATTGCAACAAAACAAACAAACCTAACAAATATCTGCTAAAAGCAGAGAGGATTGTACGATTCCGACTTTATCATAAGCATGATATTATCTGAGAAACTTTGATTATAATTTCAATCAATGACAACTAAATGGGTGTTATCAGTACCATTCACGCGAATGGAGTTATCACTGATTTTCAGGAATACTTTCATAAGTTTTTCATCGCTATTTTGCCTTTTACGCCGCATGGAATCTTTTTCGACGGAAAATCGAGATTTGTTATTGTCTGGCGTTAGCAATTATATTATATCCATTGATGCAGCTCAAGTACTTGTTATGATGTGTTTTGCAGATGCATATATATATATATATGTATTTATGCATGTGTATAATGTGTTCCACATTATCAGTATACTTAAAAATTGTGTGACATTATAAATAGGGAGAGATCGAGCTAGAGCAACGTAACTCTTCTACTAATTTCACATTCTGATCAATTAATATCTTTTAACTATTAATCAACACAATAGCACCAAAATATTTTTCAGTTCCCACGCCGGAATCCGTGATGCCCAATGGCTTAACTTAGTAGGTTCAACCGTTAGTCCTTGCGATTTACGACGCCGAGTAATGAGAAAGGCGGTGAAGACAACCACGAAACCACACCATTTCGGTGGTTTAGTGCTTAATCGATATACAGACAGAGTTATTCTTGAATACTGACAAGGTCCCTCAGAATGTTTATGTCATTGCTTAGGAATAACGTTATTGGCGTTACCCTGGGTTCTAATGTAGCTGGGGAGGGATACCTATTTCCCATGTCACAATAACTCATATCTATATAGCGCCCTTTCCAACACGTGTTCTCATTAGCGCCTTTTGACAAGAGTGATGTCCGGTACAATTCCTTCTTTTGACTTTTTACCATATGCACACGGGTTTATTTTCAGGTGCATATTGACTTGCCTTTGCGTGTGTTTGTGGCAGGTGCCACCGGTGTGGCAGGATACGCTCACTTTTTCGCGAACACCTGTTATCATCACTATTGGATAGTGATTCATAAACACATGCTCATGATATAGTCGGAATCGTACAATCGATTTTATTTTCGCAGATATTTCTTATGAATTTGGAAATGGTTTTATCGCTTATATTTAATGATAGGCTTATGCGTGCAAACATATTGGTTTTGAATTTTGTCTTTTATGTGTTAATATTGTCAAAGTACCTGATGACAAATGGAAGTGAATTCCATAACACGAGGTCAAAGAACAGAGAAATAGACATTGTTTAAAATAATCTGATTTCGAGATCAATAGAAACATTGTTAACTCCAGATAAGAACAGTAAAACAATATAGTTTATGGATGACAACTTCTTTAATCTATCATGATGCAACGTTTCGGTTTAGATCCTTATTCCGTTGTCAAGCAAGAGTGAAGTACGACATCAAAGTGCAGGGTTTTATCCATACCAGGCTATGCTTAAAAAAAGTATTTAGAATGAGTCATACATTGCGTTAAACTTTAGAGGTTGCATAATTAGAAACCATATTCTGCTAACAATGTAACATAACAATATGAATATTGCCTTTTCCTCTTTTTCTATTACAACGTGTTTATGTTTGAATCGTTATACATGTACATCGTGTAGTTGTCCGATTTTCGATCACGAACGTTGTTACTGCCTAATTTCGTTTATCCGATATACTCGTTAATCCGACATACTCGTTAATCCAACATAATCATATGCAACCAACAATGTCGGATTAACGCGACTTGACTGTACATCTAATACGGATGAACAAAAACAACATGAGAGTATACATGAAAGGGATTACCAAGAACAAAGAATAATGGTTGATTGATACAGTAACAACAGAAAGAGTGTGAGTGAGTGAGTGAGTGAGTTTGGTTTAACGCCGCTTTTAACAGTATTCCAGTTATATCACGGCGTGTCAGCTTAATGTGGGGGGAAAGCCCGGAGTGATGCAGGTCTCAGACGTTTACCACTTTGGTGAAACCCACGTGTACGGGTATGGTGCTGACAAACCTAGAAACATAATTGGGGCGAAACGGGATTCGAACCCACAATCATAGGTTTCTGGCATGCCCAAGGGACGCAACTCTGCACAGCGAATCACAGCACCTTAGACGACTGGGCCACCCATGCTCCCAAACAACAGAATGAACAAATGGTTGATTGATAATAGAAAGAACCCATCTCTACATGGTACAAATATACAATGCTGACTGGATTAATTAGAGGTTGTAGCTTCAGCATTTTGTTATTTTATCTATTCATTGTATGCGGATGGGATTAGGTATCCTTGATCTTTGTTGATTGATGGCTTGTGGCCTCGGACTTGAACTGCTTCTGCTAGTTTTCGTTGGGTGCAGCCATGGAGATTGTAAGATACAGGATCTGTACACTGTCGCACATGATGTTGTGTTTAGGGCAGTTGATGACGTGGTCTCAGGTGGTTGATTTTCGGCCTGACTTTGTGGTAGATGTTTATGTTCTTTTATTCTGAAGTTTATGGGGCGGGAAGTTTCAATTACATAGGCATTACTTCTTTGAGTGGCATTTAGAAGTTGGAATGGTCTTAGTTACATAGGCATTGCCGCAGTCACAACTAATTTTATAGACAACGCTTTTAGGCTCTTGATGGTTTGTCGTGTTCCTGCCATGGGCTTTCAGTAGGGATTTCAGGGGTTTAGAACTGGTGAAATACGTTTCCATGGTGCTTGCTTCTTGATGAGGCGGATGGTGGGGTGGGAGGTCTTTCCTATGAAGGTGATGGAGATTCGGATTTGGGCTGTCTCAGGTTTGCTGGTTGGTTTAGATGCTGAATGGAGGATGCTTATGGTGATTTTGTCGACTAGCTTTGTTGGGACGTGGTTGAAATGGATGAATACCATTCGTGACCAACTC